TTTTGCACGTGAATATCCAGTTGATCCAGCACCATTTGTTGAAGAGACTGTCTGTGCTCCATTGTATTGCCTTTGCTCCTTTGTCAAAGATCAACTCACTGTATTTATGGGAAAGATATGCTTTTTATAAGACTGGATTTGTAGCACAGTCCCCTGGAGAATTGCTGTCAAAATGCTTATCTTAGTCCCTGGGCCAAACCTTCTAAGTAGGATTCTCTGGGAGAGGGGTGGAGGGACCTGCATTTTTCAAATGACCACAGATGATTCTAAAGTAAACAAATCAAGGGTTTGGGACTCTTTCCTCTTAGTTCATTTTCTAAATTGTCTTCCTTTTCTGCAGAACGTTTGTACATCTCCCTTGTGACTGATGATGTAAGGCTTAACTCTGTGTCTTCTGCTAGTTACTATAAAACAGAATCCTTTGGTAACCTAAACAAAAAGTATAATGAGCACATTCTGTCTGCCTGTACTGTGCTGGATGACCATTGGGGAAAGGTCTATGTAGAGGTTTTTGGAAATGAGAAAGAAGATATCAGAATTTAGAGCCACACAGTAGAGTAAGACACTTAGAACGACCTCGTGCTATGGAACATTGATCTGGCAGTGGTCCAGTTCAGGTCAGTTCAGCTGCTCAGTCGTGTCCGGCTCTATGTAACTCCATGGAATCTAGCACGTCAGGCTTCCCTGTCCTTCACCATCTCCCAGAGTTTGCTCAAACTCATGTCCATCAAGTCGGTGATGCCATCCAACCATTTCATCCTCTGTCATCCTCTTCTCCTCCTGCCTTCAATCTTTCCCAGCATCAGGGTCTTTTCCAATGAATCAGTTCTTCGCTTCAGGTGGCCAAAGTATTGGAGCTTAAGCTTCAGCATCAGCATCAGTCCTTGCAATGAATATTCATGATTGGTTTCCTTTAGGATGGACTGGTTTGATCTCCCTGCAGTCCAAGGGACTCTCAAGAGTCTTTTCCAACACCACAGTTCAGAAGCTTCAATTCTTCCATGCTCAGCTTTCGTTAGGGTCCAACTCTCACATCCATACATGAGTACTGGAAAAACTGTAGCTTTAACTAGATGGACCTTTGTTGGCAAAGTAATATCTCTGCTTTTTAATATGCTATATAGGTTGGTCATAGCTTTTCTTCCAAGGAGCAAGCGTCTTTTAATTTCATGGCTGAAGTCACCATCTGCAGTGATTTTGGAGCCCAAGAAAAGAAGTTTCTCACTGTCTCCACTGTTTCCCCATCTATTTGCCATGAAGTGATGGGACCAGATGCCATGGTCTTTGTTTTTTGAATGTTGAGTTTTAAGCTAGCTTTTTCACTCTCCTCTTTCTCTTTCATCAAGAGGCTCTTTAGTTCCTCTTTACTTTCTGCCATAACGATGGTGTCATCTGCATATCTGAAGTTATTGCTATTTCTCCCGGCAATCTTGACCCCAGCTTATGCTTCATCTAGCCCACCATTTCCCATGATGTACTCTGCATATAAGTTAAATAAGCAGGGTGACAATATACAGCCTTGAGGTGTTCCTTTCCCAATTTGGAACCAGTCCATTGTTCCATGTCTGGTTCTAACTGTTGCTTCTTGACCTGCATACAGATTTCTCAGGAGGCAGGTCAGGTGGTCTGGTATTCCCATCTCTTTAAGAATTTTCCAGAGTTTGTTGTGATCCACACAAATCAAAGGCTTTGGCATAGTCAGTAAAGCAGAAGTAGATTTTTCTGGAGCTCTCTTCCTTTTTCGATGATCCAAGGGATGTTTGCAATTTGATCTCTGGTTCCTCTGCCTTTTCTAAATCCAGCTTGAACATCTGGAAGTTCTTGGTTCACATTCTGTTGAAGCCTGGCTTGAATAATTTTGAGCATTACTTTGATAGTGTGTGAAATGAGTGCAATTGTGCAGTAGTTTAAGCATTCTTTGGCATTGCCTTTCTTTGGAATTGGAATGAACACTGACCTTTTCCAGTCCTGTGGCCACTGCTGAGTTTTCCAAATTTGCTGGCATATTGAGTGTAGCACTTTCATAGCATCATCTTTTAGGATTTGAAATAACTCAACTGGAATTCCACCACCTCCACCAGCTTTGTTCATAGTGGTGCTTACTAAGGCCCACTTGACTTCACATTTTAGGATTTCTGGCTCTGGGTGAGTGATCACACCATTATGGTTATATGGGTCATGAAGGTCATTTTTGTATAGTTCTTCTGTGTATTCTTGCCACCTCTTCTTAATATCTTCTGCTTCTGTTAGGTCCACATAATTTTTGTCCTTTATTTTGACCATCTTTACATGAAATGTTCCCTTGGTATCTCTTATTTTCTTGAAGAGATCTCTAGTCTTCCCCATTCTATTGTTTTCCTCTATTTCTTTGTATTGATCACTGAAGACGGCTTTTTTATCTCTTCTTGCTATTATTTGGAACTCTGCGTTCAGTTGGGTATATCTTTCCTCTTTACCTTTGCCTTTAGCTTCTCTTCTTTTCTCAGCTTGTAAGGCCTCCTCAGACAATCATTTTGCCGTTCCTTTTCTTCAGGATGATCTTGATCACTGCCTCCTGTACAATGTCACGAACCTCCGTCCATAGTTCTTCCGGCACTCTATCAGATCTAATCCCTTGAATCTATTTGTCACTTCTGCTGTATAATCATAAGCAATTTGATTTAGCTCATTCCTGAATGGTCTAGTGGTTTTGCCTACTTTCTTCAATTTAAGTCTGAATTTTGCAATAAGGAGTTCATGATCTGAGCCACAGTCAGCTCCCGGTCTTGTTTTTACTGACTGTATAGAGCTTCTCCATCTTTGACTGCAAAGAATATAATCAGTCTGATTTTGGTAGTGACCATAAGGTGATGTCCATGTGCAGAGTCATCTCTTGTGTTGTTGGAAGACAGTGTTTGCTATGACCAGTGGGTTCTCTTGGAAAAACTCTGTTAACCTTTGCCTTGCTTCATTTTGTTGTCAAAGGCCAAACTTACCTGTTATTTCCAGTATCTCTTGTCTTCCTACTTTTGCATTCCAGTCTGCTATGATGAAAAGGACATCTTTTTTGGGTGTTAGTTCTAGGTCTTGTAGGTCATCATAGAACTGTTCAACATCAGCTTCTTTGTCATTAGTGGTTGGGGTATAGACTTGGATTACTGTGATATTGAGTGGTTTGCCTTGGAAATGAACAGAAATCATTTTGCTTTTCTGGGATTGTATCCAAGTATTGCATTTCACAATCTTTTGTTGACTGTGAGGGCTACTCCATTTCTTCTAAGGGATTCTTGCCCACAATAGTAGATATAATGGTGATCTGAATTAAATTTGCCCGTTTGGGTCCATTTTAGTTCACTCATTCCTAGTATGTTGATATTCTCTCTTATTGTTTGACTACTTCCAATTTACCTTGATTCATAGATCTAACATTCCAGGTTCCTATGCAATGTTGTTCTTTACAGCATCGGACTTTACTTCCTTCACCTGTCGCATCCACAACTGGGGTTTGTTTTCGTTTGGCTCTGTCTCTTCATTCTTTCTGAAGCTATTTCTCTACTCTTCTCCATATTGGGCATCTACTGACCTGGGAAATTCATCTTTCAGTGTCATATCTTTTTGCCTTTTCATACTGTTCATGTGGTTCTCAAGGCAAGAATACTGAAGTGGTTTGCCATTCACTTCTTCAGTGGAGGACGTTTTGTAAGAACTGTCCACCATGACCTGTCCGTCTTGGGTGGCAGCAGGCCACTGTCGACACACGCCTCTGCTAGAGAGTCCTGGACACTCACAGGCAAGTCTGGCTTAGTCTCTTGTGGGGACACTGCTCCTTTCTTCTGGGTCATGGTGTGCACAAGGTTTTGTTTGTGCCCTCCAAGAGTCTGTTTCCCCAGACCTGTGGAAGTTCTGTAAGCAAATCCCACTGGCCTCCAAAGTCAAATTCCCTTCTCCAGTGGACCGCATTTTGTCAGAACTCTCCACCATGATCCATCCGTCTTGGGTGGCCCTACACAGCATGGCTCATAGTTTCATTGAGTTAGACAAGACTGTGATCCATGTGATCAGTTTGGTTAGTTTTCTGTGATTGTGGTTTTCATTCTGTCTGACCCCTGATAGGTAAGGATTGTGGTTAAAGGACACTAATAAAGTCAGAGAGCTCAATCTGGAGAAGACATGAAGCCTCAAGTGATTAGGGCATGAAATAGGGTGAGGGGAATATCATAGAGAATCCCAGAGGGTTTGCAAAGAAAGAAGTAACTGAATTTGGTGATAAGATATAAAAAAGGGGGGAGGGGTGATTTCAGAGGCTCTAATCTAATCAAGGAGCCCAGAGAAAATGAGCTCTGGCTGATGGCAATTGGGATGGTTGGAAGAAAAGGCAGTTTGTCCAGGAAGAGGGGGCATCTGTCTTGGCTGTTGAATTTGAGGCAAGAATGGAACTCTAAAGTGGAGCAGTTAGAAATCTGGGACTGGCTCCAAGGCAGTAGGTCAGGATTAGGAATCCTCAGTGAAGAAATTCTAGTTGAGGAGTGGAAGTGATAAATGGGCGAGTGGATGAGGGAGTAAGAAATAGAGAGGAACACACAGAGGGCTGAAGACTGGATGTGAATTCTCTGAGAATAGAAGAAAGGAAAGGAACAAGCCAAGAGAACAAGGAAGGAGCAGACAGAGGGACTAGGGAAACTTGGAATTGAGCAGATAAGGCATTTTCAGGAAGCATAAAATTTCTCATCCTGGCCTTGTACCATTTCCCATACAGAAGAGGAAAAAGAGTCAGGACTCCTGTGGTTTCCGTAGCTATTGAAAATACCATATTCATGAAAAAGGAACATTCATTTCTTCCTCAAATGTGAAATGGAGCTGTATTATAAAATAGGGCTTTAAAAAAAGGCTACCCTGCCAGATTGCAAATATGGCTTTTCGTGGACATCTTTAATCATTTGAAAACAAACAGACATGTGTATTTGTTTCTTGCATATGTAGTTAAAAAATAATGCAGAAGGTTATCTCGTTTTATCTTGTAGGCACAGAAGCCTAGGAAAAACTCTTCAGTGTGAAAACATCTACAGAGAAGGCCAGCACATTGCTTGTTCCTTTGATCTGACTAAGGTGAAGGATTCCAGTTTTGAACAGCACAGCGTCCAAGTAATGGTTAAAGACAATGCAGGAAAAATCAGACCATCCTACAATATAGTGCCTTTAACTTCTCATGGTAAGTTTTAGAAGTACTTCACGACAGTGTGGATCAAAGTATTATGTCATCAATACGAATGATAAAAAAATGATGATTTTGGTTTGAAGATCTTCCCAGAAAAAAGGGACTATATTCATGTATCTTTTTCTTTGTTCCTTGTTAAAAGTAGCAAGCTTGTAAATTCTCATATTTATTGTGCACATATGCCACATGCTTTATCCATGTTTACTTATGCATATGCTGAGCCTTAGAGCAAGCAGTTAGTTGTAGAACTGAGATTGGGACTTAGGCTCTCTGACATTTTTTTAACAATTTTAAATGTTTAGTTATTTATTTGACTTCACTGGGTCTTTGTCGAGGCATGTGGAATCTTTGATGTTCATTGTGGCAGACAGGATCTTTAGTTACAGCATATGGGATCTAGTTCCCCGACCAGGGATCAAACCCAGGCCCCCTGCATTGCGAGCACAGAGTCTTAGCCACTGGACCACCAGGGACGTCCCTCTCTGACTCTTAAGATCTATTCTCTTTTACTTACACTCCAGAGGATGCTGCTGCAGAATAAATGTGATTTAATATAGTTCCTGAATAACCTGTCTCTGTTTAACAATAACAAAAAGCTTAGACTAGAGATGGAGTGATCAGGAGTGATATTCAAACTGTCTAATATTCTGAATAACCCAGGCACAGATCAATGAGAACAACCAGTGCAGCCGAGTTTCGGTCCATTACTAAGAGCCTTCAACTTGAAAACAAAGTACCCGCTTAAGGTCTTAGCTTCGTCACTTGGGATATGGCATATACACTCTAATTTCCTCTTCATCTATAAAAGGGGATACACAGTCCATCTTGAACTCAGAGGATTGTTGTAAGGTCTGAATGATGTGACATGTGTAAAAGCATTTTGTAAATCTCTAAAGCAGAGTTGTATGTTCTTAGTCACTCAGTCGTGTCTGACTCTTTTCGACCCCATGGACTGTAGCCTGCCAGGCTCCTCTGTCCATGGGGATTCTCCAGGCAAGAATACTGGAGTAGGTTGCTGTGCCCTCCTCCAGGGAATCTTCCCAACCCAGGGATCGAACCCAGGTCTCCCACATTGCAGGCAGATTCTTTACTGCCTGAGTCACCAGGGAATCCACATTATATTTATTTATTTGCTGTAGTATCCCAACAGGGAGCTCCGATTCTAGCTAAAGTGGTACACAGAAAATTTACAAGAAAATAATCATGAATTGACAAAGGTTCCCAAGTCTGTGAGCAGAACACTATTTACTGCCCTTTCAGACAGTTATGGAAGTGAATTCTAATAGTGCACCCAAGGCAGCTGAGTTTGTAAGCCAGGGGAGTGAGGTTGAGGCAACTTGCCAAATGGGATCATTTGAAGCAAAGCCCTTCTTTCTCCTCCCCTTTGCTTGGAAGCTTGTCCTTGATGGACCTTTTAAAGCTCATTTTGCTGCTCTTCTACCTAGAGATGAGTGGTGATATAAGAGATGAGTGGGAGATTCTTGTTAGCCAGAAGGGGATGTTGTGAAGTTGTTTTCTGTTAATTATCCACTCTCTTTTGTTGCTTGGTCTTAAGCATAGTTGACTCCTGAAAAACTGAATTGACTAGGCCAATTTCTTTTTTTAATTTCTTTTAAATCATGATTATAATTATATAACATTAAATATGCCATCTTAACCATTTTCAAGTGTACAGTTCAGTAGTGTTAAATATATTCACAGTGTTGTGCAGTAGATCTCTAGAACTCTCTCATTTTGTAAAACTGAAACTTCATGCCCATGAAATACTAATTCTCCTTCCCCCACCCCTCCCCCTTCCCCCAGCCCCTGGTAACCACCTTCCTACTTTCTGTTTCTATGACTTTGACTCCTTTAGATACCTCTTATAAGTGGAATCATACAGTATTGGTCCTTTTGTAATGGACTTATTTCATTAGCATCATGTCCTCAAAGTTCATCCCTGTTTAGTCGCTCAGTCGTGTCCGACTCTTTGCGACCCTATGGGCTATAGCCCGCCAAGCTCCTCTGTCCACGGGATTTTCTAGGCAAGAATACTTGAGTGGGTTGCCATGCCCTCCTCCAGGGGATCTTCCCAGTCCAGGGATCGAACCCACATCTCCTATGTCTCCTGCGTTGGCAGGTGGGTTCTATACTACTGCACCACATGAGAAGTCCTTCACCCCTGTTGTAATCTATGACAAAACTATGCTGATGTTTTCATTGTGGTCTTTGATTGGCATAAATGAGTGCTGGCTGGTACCCCTTGTACCTGATGCCCCTCAGTACCATCAGGAAGAGTCACATCTGGACCCAAGCACTTCTTTACCCCACCCTCTTGTTGTAGCTAAATATCTGGATTAAACCCCAGCCATGCCCTAACCAGATGCACGTCAGGATCTGCGTCATCTGCCAGCCCCAAAGATGTTCCTTAGATCTGTTTTACTAGGCAGTTTAAGCTTCCTATAGGGGACTTCCCTTCTGGTCCAGTGATCAGGACTCTGAGCTTCCATTGCAGGGGACCCAGGTTCAATCCTTGATCGGGGAAATAAGATCCTGCATACTGTGGGGTGTGGCCAAAAACACGAAAAAGAAACAAAGAAAAAAAAAAGCTTCCTACATTAATTGTGATTAATCAGAAATTCTAGAACTGTATGTCTGATCATGTAAGGCCATTAAAAGCATCAGACCTATTTTGATTTACCTTTGTGACCTTCATTGTCTCTACACATAAGTGCTGTGTTGTGTTTAGTCGCTCAGTCCTGTCCAATTCTGTGCGACCCCATGGACTGTAGTCTGCCAGGCTCCTCTGTCCATAGGGATTCCCCAGGCAAGAATACTATAGTGCGTTGCCATGCCCTCCTCTAGGAGGTTTTCTCAACCCAGAGATCGAACCCAGGTCTCCCACATTGCAGGTGGATTCTTTACCATCTGTGCCACAGGGAAGCCCAAGAATACTGGAGTGGGTAGCCTATTGCTTCTCCAGGGGAACTTCCCAACCCAGAAATCGAACTGGGCTGTCCGGCATTGCAGGTGGATTCTTGACCAGCTGAGCTATTTGGGAAGCCCATATGTGTATCTCATCAAAATTAACTCTGAAAATTAATTTGTATTCTTCTGTTTCTGTTTTTCAGTGAAACCTGATCCTCCACATATTAAAAATCTCTCCTTCCAAAATGGTGACTTATACGTGCAGTGGACAAATCCACAGAATTTTCAAAGTAAATGCTTATCTTATGAAGTAGAAGTCAATAACAGCCACGCTGAGACACATGATATTTTCTATGTAAGTTTTTTTTTAAATAGTTGTTATTTAGAATTTTTTCTTGCATTTCTTACAGTGTAATAAATTGAAATATCAATGAAAAGTAGCTCATAGATTTGTCACCTGATGATGATGGTTTCTCTGAAATAGCGTGTGGTGAAGGTTTGACAGTTTATGGTAGTATGCTTACAAGAATTCAGTCATTCATTAATTCATTTGCTGAAAAGTTTTTTATTACATGTCTATCATGTACTACCAGGCACTATTTTATGTTCATGTGACACCTGATAAAAAAAATTTTTGCCCATGAAGCTTACCTACTAGAAAATAAGTGCATAAATGAGCAAACTAATTTTAGAGAATGAATGCTATGCAGAAATTTAAGTGGGGTGATGGCAAGGCCTGAGGGAATATTAGGTAGGGTAGGTATCCACAGTGATGAGATTTGAGATGAGACTGGAACTATGAGCAGGAGCTAGTCATTTGATGATCTGGAGGTGGAGGGGACAGCATGGTCAAAGACTCAGGCAGGAATGAGCTTGGCATGTGTGAGAAATAGGAGACTGGCATGACCAAAACATAGTAGGAAGAGGTGTCTGAGCCTAGAGCTGGGATCAGATTATGTAGCTACTTAGAGGCTCCTGTATGGTCGTTCAGTTTTTTTTGGAGCTTGTAGCAATTAGAGTAGTCAATACTGAGTAGTTAGTATTTTTTGGATCATGTACATTTATGCTCTTTGGAATCTAATATAAAACATGCTGATAAGAGGTCCCTGTGGAGTAGGAAATGGCAATCCACTCCAGTAATCTTGGCAACCCACTCCAGGAAATTCCATGGACAGAGGAGCCTGGCAGTCCATGGGGTCACAAGGAGTTGGACTCCACTGAGCGACCGAGCATACACGCATGCATTGGAGCACTGGGCCTAACAGGGTGTGGCATAACCTCAGGGCCCAGTTGCATTGTTATGCTTTAGAACAGAGATCTCAAACTCAGGCCTCAGACATTTTTGTTTGGACCACAAAACAAAGTGGGGTTTTGTTTGCTTGTATATTACATTTGAATTTTCTGCCCAGATTGAAAACTGTGGTACCTGAGGGTGTAATTGCTATAAGGTGGTGCCTTAGGACCACAGGGACTGTGCCACTCACTTGTGTTACCTGCCTGGGCCCTGTGTCCATTTGAGTTTGAGAGATTAGAAACCATGGGCTTTTACAGGAGTCCTGCAGCTCACATGTGGGAAGATCCCTTGGTTCACTTGTTTTAGCTCATCATGGGTATTTCGAAAACTAAAGTATTTTATTTACTAAAATAAGCCGCTGTTGACAGGCTGTAACTCTGGAGGGAGCGACCAGGTCCCCAGCTGAGCAGAGCTCTTCTGGGCATTTGCAAATAAAAGCATTTGCTGAAGCAGAATAATCATTCTTCATCCCAGAAATCAGGGTCCCCAAATAATGCCACAAAAGGAAAAAGCAAAGGGCTTCCAAGCGGGGAGGGGGTGAGGCTTGAATTTACAACTAAGTGAGTTATCAGAAAGCCGAATATGCTTGACTATTCCAGCCTTGACTGCTCTCTTCTGTCTGAAATCCAGAGACACATGCCACTTGTATTACTCACTTGGCAGTAAATGATGTCCTGCTAGTTACCCATGATCTTGACTAAAAATATAAACTCCTGTAAGGGGGAGGAATTAGGTGGTATTTACTTTGTACTGTTCTGGCTACTAATACCAACTAATATGTATTAAGCAATTGCTGTGTATTAGCTATTTTAATTGGAGAAGGAAATGGCAACCCACTCCAGTATTCTTGCCTAGAGAATCTTGTGGACAGAGGAGCCTGGTGGGCTGCTGTCCATAGGGTCGCACAGAGTCGAACATGACTGAAGCGACTTAGCATGCATGCATGCATTGGAGAAGGAAATGGCAACCCACTCCAGTATTCTTGCCTGGAGAATCCCAGGGATGGAGGAGCCTGGTGGGCTGCCGTCTGTGGGGTCGCACAGAGTCGGACATGACTGAAGCGACTTAGCAGCAGCAGCAGCAGCAGCAAAAATAGCAGCTATTTTAATAAGTACTTTATCTGAGTTGTCTCATTTAGTCCTCACAATGACCCCAAGGATCTAGGCCTGTTACAGATGAGAAAACTTCAGTCTCAAAGGTTATTCCTAAGGTCACATTTCTAGTAAGGGTTAGAGTCCAAGATTTCAGCAAAAGTCTAACTCCAAAGCTTTTATTCTTAAACCCCTGGGGACTACCTCAATACTTCCTCTTGCTAGTAATAGCCATCACTTATTGCTCATGATGTATTACAAATACAGTCTTCTATGTACTTCTTATATAGTTGCTCATAGCAATCCATGAAATCGGTTCCTTTTTAACCTATGTTTTAGTGAGAAACTAAGGCTCAGAGAGGTTAAGTAACTTGCTACAGGCCACACAGCTTATTAAGTATGACTTCAGAGGTTGGTCTCCATGTATTGCATTTTAACCAAGAACTCTGGGTATAAGACCATGTGTACAGTTGTCACTTAATAAATTCTTATTGAATTGTTACCTTTAAAAAAAAAACTTCTGAACTGACGAGAGCACATATACTGTGGAATTTATCCATCAAAACCAGAACTGTAGTCAATTTGGAATTAACTCTGTTTATACACTTGAGTTTAATGTTCTCTCTCTTAGCAGATGTTCACCAGCTGCTCCATCCCCTGGATTGTCATCAGCTTTTTGTGTGCTCACTGATTTTGAGCTCAGCTGGTTAGACCCTTTCTTGGTTTGCAAGACTTTTTGAGGAGCTATTTGGCCTGGTGTTCCAGTTAAGAGGGGGAAGTAGGCTGGAGCATGAACTGATGCCATCCATGGCTCTGGGTCAGGGTTGCTTATGACAGAATCATAAAGCATGAAGTTACTTGTCTTTGGGCATGCCCATCCCCGCCAGCTCTCCACTTGGTGATCTGCGTCCTTGTTTCCCTTTTCTCATGGAAGTATCTGAGCAGCTGATAAACTACACAAGGAGATTTACATTTGAACAAGAGCCCAGAACCATCAATTTACATAATAATTTGCTGACTTTGGAATATATACATCAGGGAGATGGTCCAGGGGAGGGGGGTACATCAGCCTGCAGCCTGGTCCCTCAAGGGGTAGTTGCCACTTGTGATTCCCCAGCAGGCCTCTGACTCCATATAGCCAACACTGGGGTACAGTAACCCCTGAGTAGCTTTTTCTCTGACCTTATATGAAGTATTGATAGGATGGCTCATCATCATTCAGTTGGCCTTTCACTCTTCACAAATGCTGGTAGGAATCGTTCAGTGAATGACATTGAATGCCCAAAATCATAGCATGTGTTATGGTCTTTGTCCCATGTTTAAACATCTCTGATAGAAGTTGACTATTTTTTCCATCTGTACTGAGGTATGATTGGCAAGTAGAAATTATATGTATTTAGGTTGTACAATGTTATTTTAAGGTATATAAGGTTATAATAATCATATACATTATGAGATGATTATCACAATCAAATTAACACATTCATCACCTCACAGACTTAGCTTTTTTTGTGGTGCGAAAACAAGATCTCTCAGCGAATTTCAGGTATGCAGTACAGTATTATTAACTGTAATCATCATGTGAAAGTCACTCACTCATGTCCAGCTCTTTGCAACCCCATGGACTATATAGTCCATGGAATTCTCCAGGTCAGAATACTAGAGTGGGTAGCCTTTTCCTTTCCCAGGGGATCTTCCCAACCCAGGGATTGAACCCAGGTCTCCTGCACTGTAGGTGGATTCTTCACCAGCTGAGCCACAACGGAAGCCCAAGTATACTGAAGTGGGTAGCCTATTCCTTCTCCAGTGGATCTTCCCAACCCAGGAATCAAACTAGGATTTCCTGCATTGCAGGGAGATTCCTTACCAACTGAACTATCAGAAAAGCCCCATTAAATCCCCAGAATTCATAACTGAAAATTTGTACCCCTGACCAACATCTTTCCATTTTCCCTACTCGCCAGCCTCTGGCAATTACCATGCTGCACTGCGCCTCAGTAAATTTGACTTATTTGAATTCCACATACAAGTGAGATCATGTAGTATTTGTCTTTCTCTAACTTATTTCACTTAGCATAGTGCCCTGAAGTTTCTTCCATGTTGTCACAAATGGCAGGATTTCCTTGGGGTTGCTAGATCATATGATAGTTCTATTTTTAATTTTTTGAGAAACCTCCATACTGTTCCAAAGTGACTGCACTGGTTTATATTCCCATCAACAGTGCATGAGTGTTTCCTTTTCTCTACACCTTCTCCAGCACTTGTTATCTCTTATCTTTTTGACGACAGCCATTCTGTTATCGGCAGTGTAAGATGATTGTGATTTTGATGTATATTTTGCTAATGATTAATGTATATTTTATACACTAGTGTATATTAGTGTATAATAGTGTATATTAGTGATGTTGAACGTCTTTTCATGTACCTGTTGCCAAAAGTAGACTATTGAAATGAAGCAAGAGACTTTCATGTGTTGATTTTGAAATATCTGCATTTTAGGAATTGATTATTCTCTTTACATCATACAACAAGTGACTTAAATTGTGTAGAGGAGAAATTTGCATTTTCTTTTCTTTTCTCTAACTCAGTCATTTAAAAACAATAATTTTGTTTAACTTTTTTATTTTTGGCTGTGCTGGGTCTTTGTTGCTGCATGGGCTTTCCTCTAGTTGCCGCAAACAGGGGCTACTCTTTCTTGTGGTGTGCAGGCTTCTCATTACTGTGGCTTCTCTTGTTGCAGAGCATGGGCGTTAGGGCACAAGGGCTTCAATAGTTGTGGCACATAGGCTCAGTAGTTGCAGTTCCTGGGCTCTAGAGCACAGACCCAATAGTTGTGGCTCATGGGCTTAGTTGCATCCCAGCATGTGGGATCTTCTTGCACCAGGGATTGAACCTGTATCTCCTGCATGACAGGTGGATTCTTTACCACTGAACCACCAGGCAAGTCCTAACTCAGTCATTTTTTGATATATTATTGAGCTTCCCAGGTAGTGCTAGTGGTAAAGAATCTGCCTCCCAATGCAGGAGATGCAGTTTCGACTCCTGGGTCAGGAAGATCCCCTGGAGAAAGAAATGACAACACACTCCAGTATTTTTTTCTGGAGAATCCCATGGACAGAGGAGCCTGGTTGGCTACATCCCATGGGGTTGCAAAGAGTCAGACATGACTGAGCATCTGAGCACATATTCTCAACAAGGGAGCATAATATTTTTAAACTATGTATTACTATGTAGTATACTATAGAAAAATTGCAGAAGTCATTATGGACAGCTCAGTGATTCTTCACAAATGATTTGTCAGTTACAAAATCAGCTCCCCATAAACTCAATCATAACCTCTTTTGGTCACTACTTTCCCAAAGAGCAATTATTATCTGGACTTCTAATCCCACTAGTGCCACCTGAGAAGCCCTTTATTGGGGTATAGCCAATTATCAATGTTGTGATAGTTTTAGGTGCACAGCAGAGTGACTCAGCCATACATACACATGTATCCATTCTGCCCCAAACTCCCCTCCCATGCAGGCTGCCACATAACATTGAGCAGAGTTCCCTGTGCTGTGCAGTAGGTCCTTCCTTGTTGGTTATCCTTTTTAAGTGTAACACTGTATACTTGTACATCCCAAACTTCCTAACTGTCCCTTCCCCCAACCCTTCCCCCTGCTAACCATAAGTTCATCCTCTAAGTCTGTGAGTCTGTTTCATAAATAAATTCATTTGTATCATTTCTTTTTTTAATTTTTATTTTTAATTGAAAGATGATTACTTTACAATGTTGTGTTGGTTTCTGCCATACAAAAATGTGAATCAGGTATAAGTGTACATATATCCCCTCATTTCTTTTTGGATTCCACACAAAAGGGGCATCCTATGATATTTCCTTTCCCTGTCTGACTTACTTCACTCAGTATGACAATCCTAGCACCATTTATTTTTTAAAAAACCTCCCTTTTTCCCACTATACCTGGTCTTCTGTTAATGGTATAAAAGAAAACTTGTTAAAATGGTTAAATGATATAAAATGTGGTCTTTAATTTCTTTTGAATTTATGTATTTTTTATATTTTCGAGGTTGAAGAGGCCAAATGTCAGAATACAGAATTTAAAGGAAACCTAGAGGTCAGTAAATTCAACTTGAGCTATTTGGACTTAAACTCATATGGTAATTGGTGATGAGGCAGGGTAAGCATATCCTAAATTTGAACTGCTTTGAGGAAAACAAACTACTTTGTTCTGTGGATTATTGCTAATTTTCTTTTACAAGAGTTAAAGTCAGATAATTTGCATTGCAATACAAAATCTTCGTCATATACAGAACTTGGCAGATAATTATATTTAGGATTCAGAAGCAGAGAAAGAGAATAAACTAGTAATATTCCTTGTGTTTTTATCTTGTATCTAAGGGTACAATTTGTTTCATGATTCCCGGTATTCGTTCTGATGCTTTGAACACAGTCAGAATAAGAGTCAAAACAAATAAGTTATGCTATGAAGATGACAAACTCTGGAGTAATTGGAGCCAAGCGATGAGTATAGGTAAGAGAATGGGATTTTTCATTAAAATTTAAACCACTGATGCATGGAAACTAAATTGAGGCAGAAAACATTATGGGAAAGGACTGTTCTTCATTCTTGACATCAGCCAGAGAACACTTACAATTGAAATGTACTTTCTGTTTAATTATTATCAAATCACTCAGAGCTAATTTACATTATGCAGCTCATTGAAAATTTGCCATCCAAATGATGTTATTCTCTCTTCTGTCCTGTTTCCATCTTTGCGAACAGCCTAAACAAAACTACAGAAGGCAGGCATGATTAAGTCTGCAGATTGTGCAGTGCTAGGGGACTATCCTATGTGCTGGTAACAGAATCAAGAGTACGACAATGACCTTGATGACATTTTATAGAAATAAACCTGTATCTGGGCTTCCCTGATATCTCAGTTGGTAAAGAATCCACCTACAATGCAGGAGACCCTGGTTTGATTCCTGGGTTCAGGAAGATCCCCTGGAGAAGGGATAGGCTACCCACCCCAGCATTCTTGGGCCTCCCTTATGGCTCAGCTGGTAAAGAATCTGCCTGCAATGTGGGAGACCTGGGTTTAATCCCTGGGTTGGGAAGATCCCCTGGAAAAGGGAAAGGCTACCCACTCTAGTATTCTGGCCTACAGAATTCCATGGACTGTATAGTCCTTGAGGTCACAAAGAATTGGACGTGACTGAGTGACTTTCACACTTTCAGGTTTGAAAAAAAATCAGCCTCACTTATTAATTGAGAGACTGTACAAGCTATGTGCTAGAATCAAGTATAGGATTGGAAAGACATGTGCCTTATGGATACTTGTATTGTGGGGTGGGAGCTAGGGTTTTATTAGATGGTAAGCTCAAAGTGACTCAACATCAGACCCTTAAATGTCCCCCAAAGACATATATAGTCATGGGCAGCAGTGATAGTACAGCATCCAGAATAAGGGAATGCTGCAGCGTGTGGCACAATGTCCTGGCTACATCAGAAGTGTGCAGCACTCCATCCTGGGCACCACATTGTAAGAGGTGCATTAGGAGACTGGAATTTTTCCTTGAAAGCATAATCAGGATGTTGAAGAATGTTAAAATTTTGGGAGGCACAGTTAATGAAGTAAGCCTAGGGAGTCATGATTGCTGAATTCTAATATTTGAGGTAGTGTCAAGTAGAAGAGAGAATAGGCTGTCTTTTTTTTGTGTGGCTCTATGGGGCAAAACAGGACCAACTTAAGAACTTCCTAACAGCTACCTAACAATAAGAGAAACAGGCTATTGAAGTAATCAAGCCCTTTTAATTGAGAGATTGAACAAGCTATATGCCAGGCTACATTATATTATTGCATAAGAAATTATGCCTTAAAAACAGATATTCACTATCTCACAATTTCCATGGCTCAGGAATCTGGGCACAACTTTGCTAGGTACCTGTGGCTCAAGTTCTCTCATAAGGTTCCAGTCAAGCTGTTGACTGGGACTGTGGTTCCATCTGAAGGCTTGACTGGGGCTGGAGAACCCACTTTCAAGATCACTTATATGGTCATTGGAAATCCTCATTTTCACACTGGCTGCTGGATGGAGGCTTTAGGAGGTTTTATTTTGTACCTCCAAAAGATATGTTCAAGTTGCCATTCCTTGTACCTATGAACATGACCTTATTTGGAAATAGAATTTTTACAGATATAATCAAGTTAAGAAGAGGCCATAAGGGCTGAGTGAAGAGTGAAAAGTGAAAGTGTTAGTCGCTCAGTTGTGTCTGACTCTTTGTGACCCCATGGACTGTAGCCCGCCAGTCTTCTCAATTCATGGAATTCTCCAGGCAAGAATACTGGAGTGAATTGTTATTTCCGTCTTCAGAGGATCTTCCCCACCCAGGGATCAAACCCAGGTCTCCTGCCTTGCAGGCAGATTCTTCACTATCTGAGCCACCAGGGAAGCCCTTAAGGGCTGAGTGAAAAGTGAAAGTGAGATCGATCAGTTGTGTCTGATTCTTTACGACCCTGTGGACTGTATCCCACCAGGCTCCTCCGTTCATGGGATTCTCCAGGCAAGAATACTGGAGTGGGTAGCCATTTCCTTCTCCAGGGGATCTTCCCGACCCAGGGATCAAACCCAGGTCTCCTGCACTGCAGGCAGTTGCTTTAACCTCTGAGCCACCAGGGAAGCCCTCCAATGACTAGTATCCTTATCAAAAGAAGAGAGAATATACGGAAACAGAGAAGGCCATGTGAAGATGAAGGCAGAGATTGGAGTGGTGCAGCTATAAGCCAAGGAATGCTAAGGATTCTTGAAAGCCACCAGGAGCTAGGATTTTGGCCTTCTGGCCACCAGAGCAATGAGAGAATATATTTCTATTGTTTTGAGTCAACCAGTGTATGGTGATTTTTTACAGCAGCTCTAGGAAACTAATATGGAGGTCTCTCAGTCCCTTGCCACTTGAACCTCCCCACAGGGCTACATCATAACATGGCAGCTGGCTTCCCCAAGTGAGTGGTCCAAGCAAGAAAGAGCATATTAGAGAACACCCAATATGAGAACCGCAGCCCTTTATAACCTCGTCTCAGAGGGACATTCCAAGGGTCATTTAGAGTCATCTTAGAGGCTGCCTAACACAATGCTAGGCCCTGATGATGTTTTCCAGATGTTCATGCCCTCATGGAAAAGATGAGCATATAAATAGACATATGCCATTCTAAGTGTTAGGTGTAGCAAGGCAGTTAATGAAAGGCTTTGGAATTGGACAGTGCTGGGTTTTAGGCTTGACTCCATTACTTATTAAACCCTCTGGACAAGCCATTAAACCTTTCTCAGCCTTATACTTCTCATCTGTATAAATGGGAAATAATATTATCTATCTCTAGAACTTCCCTGGTGGCTCAGCAGTAAAGAATCCGCCTGCCAGTGCAGGAGATATGAGTTTGATCCCTTGATTGGGAAGATCCCCTGGAGGAAGAAATGGCAATCCAGTCCAGTGTTCTTGCCTGGAGAATTCCTTGGGACAGAGGAGCCTGGTGGGCTGCAGTCCATGGGGTCGCAGAAGAGTTAGACACGACTTAGCGATTAAACCAATGACAACAATAATGCTAAGCAACCAATAAAACAAGATAGTGTTAATGAGATGACATATTTTAAAAATATAACTTCCTTGTTAATAGTGTCTAAAACCAATTAAGATATCCTGGTTTCAGATAATCCTTAAGGTGCTTATTTATCCATGGAATTTTAGGCACCAGAGCAGGACTTCCCCCCAACCCCACTATTAACAAAAGACAAGATAATTGAAGAATTTAGGGGAATATGTTGGTGTAGAGGGCAGAAATAGCTGTAATCTCATTAGTCTAATAGAACAAGATTGCTTAGTTTATTTCTCAAAAGGTTTTATTTCTCATGTCTTTCTGTTTGCTTTCCATTTTCCAGGTCAGAAGGCCAATCTGACATTTTACATAACCACATTACTCATCATTCCAGTCATCGTTGCAGCCGCAGTCATTGTCCTTCTGCTGTATCTGAAAAGGTAAGGCAGCTGCTCAGGCAGGCCTGACACTTTCTGCTAGCCTGGCTGCTATGGTTATTATTCTTTGTGGGTGTGTTTGATGTCTGCCCAGTGTGTTGGCAGCATTTTGGCTATACCTGGTTTTTGGCAGGATGGCGTGGCAAGTATTACTGTGCCCGCTTTCTGGTGAGGAAAGTCTTGGTCTTCCAAGGTGCTGCTCAGGCAGTGCTCTGTTTGTACATTTTTAGAATGTTGATAGCACTTACGTTCACTCAACTCTCTAAAACACCTAATTTGTCAACCGTTAGTTGCTAGTTCATAAGTTTTAGAAATGGAGATCATTAGCAATTAAATGACTTATCTAATGTGAAGGCAAAATGGGTTGCTACTTAACGCTATAGGATAAAGTACTTCAAGTTCTAAGACATGATACTCATTCTTGGAGAATTTTTTACTTTCTTGATTTCATCATAGGGACTAGTCTGGTGCTATTATTTGCTCTTTCAGGAAAATACCTAAAGTTGGAATAAGTTTACTAAGCTGGTTCTAGAATCAATATTTTATCATTATTTCAGTATTCTTTAAATATGCATGTGTTGAGTGCCCATTTATGTGCCAGCTCAGTTCAGTTCAGTTGCTCAGTCATGTTCTACTCCTTGCGAACCCATGGACTGCAGCTTGCCAGGCTTCCCTGTCCATCACCAACTCCCAGAGCTTGCTCAAACTCATGTCCATTGAGTCGGTGATACCATCCAACCAACTCATCCTCTGTCATCCCCTTCTCCTCCTGCCTTCAATCTTTCCCAACATCGGGGTCTTTTCCAATGGGTTAGTTCTTCATATCAGGTGGCCAAATTATTAGAGTTTCAGCTTCAGCATCAGTCCTTCCAATGAATATTTAGGACTGATTTCCTTTAGGATAGACTGGTTTGATCTCCTTGCAGTCCAAGGGACTCTCAAGAGTCTTCTCCAGCAGCACAGTTCAAAAGCATGAATTCTTCGGTGCTCAGCTTTCTTTATAGTCCAACTCTCACATTCATACATGACTACTGGAAAAACCATAGCTTTGACTAGATGGACCTTTGTCGGCATTATGTGCCAGGCACTGTTATAATTGCTAGAGTTGTGGTGCTGATCAGGACAAAGTCCCTACCTATGGGTTCACATAGTGAGTAGTAAAGTTATGGAGTTGGGCTGGGGAGAAAGGCTAGGAAGTGATATGAGGCTAATCTTACACGGAATGCCAGGGAAGGCCTCTCTGAGAAAGTGACATTTGAAGACAGAATTAAAGGAGTGAGCCAGTCAGATATTCAAAGAAAGAACATTCTAGGCCAAAAGAACAGCAAGTGCAAAGGTCCTGAGGCTAGAATCAGCTTAGTGTGTCTTGTTAGAGGAGAGCATACAAGGCGGGAGAACAAGAGGATATGAGGCAGGAGAGCCTGGCAAGACCAGATCATGTAGGCTGTGGCATGGAATTGAGTTGTTATCCTAAGCATGATGGGAAAAGATTAGAGAGTTTTAAGCAGGAGAGGGATGTGATTGGATTGACTGTCATAAAGGATCATTGTATTGCTGAGTGAAGACTTGACTTGGCAAGAGTAAAAGCAGGTAGACCAGTTAAGAAACATTGTAGTGTTTGAGTGGAAAGATGAGAGCAGTGTAGGCCAGGAGGTTTGCAATGAAGGTAGTAAGAAATATTCTGATGTGGGATGTATTTTGAAGATGAAATTAATAATAGCACTTGCTGATGGCTGCTTGTTTTTGGAGGTGTAAGAGTAATTGAGGATTCAAGGGATAACTCTTAGATTCTTGGCTTCAGCAACTAAGTGAATATTGCAGCGTTTTACTGAGATGGGGAAGATTGGGAGGAGATCTGGCTTTAGGGAAAAGGTGAGGACTTCAGTTTTGAACATGGTAAGTTTGAGATGCCTATTAAATATCCAGGTAGAGATGCTGAATCATTACCTGTATACATGAATCTGGAGTTTAAAGAAGAGGTTTGGACCAGAGTTAGAAATTTGGGAGTCCTCAGCATATAAATAGATTTAAAGCCCTTAAGACTAGAAGAGAGTACTTATAAAGTGAGGGAGATAAAGAGGACAAAACACTGAACCCTAGGACACATCAATATTTAGAGACCTAGGAGATGAGGTAGGTCCACCAGAGGGTACTGTTGGATTGGCCAAAAAGGTCGTTCAGGTTTTTCCACACCACCTTACAGAAAAACCTGAATGAACTTCTGGACCAGTGTAATACTATCAGATGCAAAAACAGAATTCAGACAAAATGGTAATTCAAAAAGATACATGCACTGCTATGTTCATAACAGCACTATTTACAATAGCCAAGACATGGAGACAACCTAAATGTCCATTGACAGAGGAATGGATAAATAAGATGTAGTATATTTATACAGTGGAATATTATTCAGCTATTAAACAATGAAATAATGCCATTTGCAGTAACATTGATGCAATGGGAGATTATCATACTAAGTAAGTCAGAAAGAGAAAGACAAATGTCATATGATATCACTTATATGTGGAATCTAAACTGTGACACAAATGAACTTATTTGTGAAACAGAAACAGAATCATAGACATAGAGAATAGACTGATGGTTGCAAGGGGGAGGGGTATGGGGAAGGGATGGACTGGGAATTTGGGATTAGCAGATGCAAACAATTATGTATAGAATGGACAAATAATAAGGTCCTACTATATAGTACAGGGAACTATATTCAGTATCCTGTGGTAAACCATAGTGGAAAAGAATATATGTTTATGTGTATAAGTCACTTTGCTGTACAGAACTAATTAACACAACATTGTAACTCAATTACACTTCAATTAGAAAAATTGAAAAAAAAATTAAAATAGAAGATAAATTAGAAAAAGAAAAGAAAAATTAAAGAGGAATGTCCCCTGTTCTCAGAAGAATTTTTTTAAAATTATAAATAACAGGGTCCCATCTGATCTGTGATAAAGTAAAACACCATTATTATTTAAATGATAGGGTATAACACACACACAGACCCCCACACACCATTATAAGTATGTGAGGTGATGGATATGTTAATTACTTTGATTGTGATGATCTTTTCACAATGTACACCTACATAAAACTCACTTTGCACACCTCAAATTTATACAATTTTTGTTTGTCAAGTATACCTCAATAAAGCTAGAAAAAAATTTAAATGATAGATTATAAGGAGTCTGCTACTGATGGGTCCTTTGCTTTACCCACACTTGATATTCTTGAGACATTGATTTCTCAGCCTGCTTTAGAAATTTCTTCACAACTGCATTATCACTAAAGATGACTTGTGTACCATGTCTTTTGTCTAAGCCCTCTTTTACTATGGCTGTATTTAAGAGGAACATTTCTTTGGACTGGAAGATTTGATCAGAAATGTCCCTGTTTTCTTAAAGGCTCAAGATCATTATATTCCCTCCAATTCCTGATCCTGGCAAGATTTTTAAAGAAATGTTTGGAGACCAGAATGATGATACCCTGGTAAGTTCTGACTCAGTGGGGTGTAAAATTGATTTTTTGAGGGGAGGCTATGGGATTAAAAATTTTTTTTGGTAAAACATATATAACATAAATTTTACCACTTTAACCAGTTTTAAGTATACAGGTCAATGACATTAAGTACATTTACAATGTTGTTGGACCATCCTCAACCATCCTCACTATTTCCAGAGTGTTATCATCATCCTAAACAGAAACTGTACCCATTAAACAATAATTCTCCATTCCCCTCAACCCCTGGTAACCTCTGTTCTGCTTTCTATCTTTATGAAGTTGCCTAGTCTAGGTACCTCATATAAATGGAATCCTACAATATTTTGCCTTTTGTGTCTGACTTCTTTCCCTTAGCATAACGTTTTCAAGTTTCATCCATGTTGTAGCATGGGTCAGAATTTCATTTCAAAATTGGTTATTTTAAAGTATATTTTGTCTAAAAGATTAAAGATCTGATTTAAAATGTTGTATCTCAGGCCAAACATACCATTTAAGAAGTCCCCAGAATACTTCATCCAGCTCGTATCGCTGGGCTTCATTCTCTCTCTGGGGAAGAGAATGTGTTTGATCCAAACATGCAGGGGGAGGAGCCTCCTTTAAGAAACTAAACCGATAGGTAGGTCTTCTGACTCTTGGATAATCTTTCAAATTTCATTTGGGGAAATACAAACATAAGATAAGCAGTCAAAGGGCTTCCCTCATGGCTCCGTGATAAAGAATCTGCCTGCAATGCAGGAGACATAGGAGATGCAAGTTTGATCCCTAGGTCAGGACAATCCCCTGGAGGAGGAAATGGCAACCCACTCCATCATTCTTGCCTGGAGAATCCCATGGACAGAGGGGCCTGGTGAGCTACAGTCCTTGTGGTTGCAAAGAGTCACACATGACTGAGCTACTGAGTACACATGCATGCAAACAGTTGAAATAGATTTTATTCATGCTATTGCCTGGAAAGCTGGCCTCAGAAGACATGGAACTAGAGCAACCTCTCACCCCCTGAACTGTTAAGAGTTATGTGGCTACAGACATTCCTGCTGGAATTTGTGGCTGGGAAAGCTAAGACCTTGTGGAAACAACAGAGTTTGTGGTTTCTCTGATAAATATATTCACCCAAATAAGATAATAAAGACACTAAATAAAATAAATATCAATATTATTGTATATATCTTAAAGTAATCATTTCAGGCATAAGACACTTAATTCGGGGAAATAGTAGAGCATAGTAGATAATAGTCTGTGCTCTGGAGTCAGATTGTCTGGATTTGGATCTCTGCTCTGTCATGTACCATCTATTTGACCTTTGGTAACTTCCTTAACCTCCCTGTGTCTCAGTTTTCTCACTTATAAAGTGAAGGTAATAATACGTGGCACTAGCGGTAAAGAACCTGCCTGCCAGTGCAGGAGACATAAGAGATGTGGGTTCGATCCCTGGGTTGGAAAGATCCCCTGGAGGAGGACATGGCTATCCACTCCAGTATTCTTGCCTGGAGAATTCCATGGACAGAGGAGCCTGTCAGGTTACAGTCCATGGAGCTGCAAAGAGTCGGACATGACTGAAGCAACTTAGCATGCATAATGTTGTTATGTGGATTAAATTAATACATAGAAATTCCTTAGTGTGCCTGGCAGTTACTTTATAGGTGCTTAGTAAATATTAGTGCTTGGGGCTTCCCAGGTGGCTCAGTGGTAAAAGAATCTGCCTGCAATGCAGGAGACCTGGCTTCAATCCCTGGGTTGGGAAGATCCCCTGGAGGAGGGCATGGCAAGCCTCTCCAATATTCTTGCCAGGAAAATCCCATGGACAGAGGAGCCTGGCAGGCTACAGTTCATGGGGTCGCAAGAGTCAGACATGATTCTTTTATTAACTCTTTAGTTAACAACTAAACAACCACAACAAATGTTACTGCTTAGTATTACTATTGATAATACTTTCCATTTCTCTTTAATGCCCAAACAGTTCTTGTAATAATGGGTGGTTCACAGTGGCAGTGATGCTACGTGGCTAGGGAAGGAAGGCACAGAGGCTCGCATGCTGTCAGAGGAGAAGTCATCTGGATCTTTTTCACCAAATCAGGGTCATAGACAGTGGGTAACTCTGCTATATAGGGCACCACTAGGAGGGAGATCCAGAAGTCAGGTGCCTGATGAAGGGCTCATATATTGTGACCGAGGTGGTTGTGGCAATCAGTGGTTCTTCGCTTTTGAGTCACAGTTGACTGGAATGCTTGTAAGAATATAGAGTTCTGGGCCCTGCCTCGAGAAGTTCGAACTCACTGGGTCTGGGATGGTTCCCGGGAAACTGCATACTTAACAGGAGCCCAACAATGATACCTCTCCTGGCAAGATCATTCACAGACCACACTTTGAAAATCACTGTTACAGACATTTTCCTTAGGATTACCCCTCTGTCTTCATTTTGCCAGCTACTGTGATAGGTGCTGGAGGCTAAGAATTGTGCAACTATTCTAACAACACCTGTAACCAGTGACTGGCAGTCACCCATGTGTACACAGTGTATTCAGTGCTCCATCTTCACACCCACTCTGTGGTGTCGGTGCTCTTAGTAGCATTTTGCAGATGAGGAATTGGAGCCTCAGTGAGGTTAGATAACTTTACTGCAGTCACACAGCAAGGAAATAATAAGGTGGGATTTGACCAAGAACTGTCTGATTCTAGAGTTCTTTCTTTCCACCATGCTGCAGGGCCTTTTGTAAGACAGGATGTTTGTCTTCAAGAGCCTCACAGTCTCCTTAGAGTTCTGTGTGGTAGAAATACTGGGTTGGGATAGAGGAGTTCCCAGAAATAGATTTGGAGTCACATTTTGGTTGGTCTCTATGAGAAGGTAGTAGGAATATCATTCTTTGTTTTTTTAACTTTTCATTAGCGTGGCCAATGATGCTGATGCTGGGAAAGATTGAAGACAGGAGAAGGGGATGACAGAGTATGAGATGGTTGGATGGGATCACTGACTCGATGGACATGAGTTTGAGCAAGCTCTGGGAGTTGGTGATGGAGAGGCAAACCTGGCATGCTGCAGTCCATGGGGTCGCAAAGAGTCAGACACGACTGAGCGACTGAACTGACTGACTGACCTGGCCAAAAAGTTTGTTCAGGTTTTTCTGTAAGATGGGATGGAAAACCCTAATGAACTTTTTGGCCAACTTAACAGTTAAAATTGGAGTAGAGTTGATTACAATGTTGTGTTAGTTTCAGGTGTACGGCACAGTGATTCAGTTATGCATATACATGTATCTATTCTTTTTCAAATTCTTTTCCCATTTAGGTTGTTAGATAATATTGAGCAGAGTTCCCTGTGCTATATGGTAGGTCCTTGTTGGTTATCCATTTTAAATATATCAATAGGAGTGTGTACACGTCAATCCCAAACTCCCCAATCTATCCCTCTCCCCCACCCTCCCTGCCCCTGGTAGCCATAAATCTATTCTGTAAGTTTGTGGTCTATTTCTGTTCTATAAATAAGTTCATTTGTATTGGTTTTTTTTTAGATTCCGCATATAAGCAATATATACAATATTTGTCTTTGTCTGACTTACTCCCAGACAATCTCTAGGTCCGTCTATGTTGCAAATGGGATTCTTTTTAATGGCCAAGTAGTACTCCATTGTATAAATATACCACATCTCCTTTATCCATTCCCCTGTCGATGGACATTTAGGTTGCTCCCATGTCTTGGCTACTGTAAACAGTGCTGCAGTGAACACTGGGGTGCATATATCCTTTTGGACCATGGTTTTCTCCAGATATATGCCCAGCAGTGGGATTGCTGGATCATATAGTAGCTCTATTTTTAACTTCTTAAGGAATCTCCATACTGTTCTCCATAGTGGCAGTACCAATTTACATTCAGTGTAATACAATACACCACATTATAGTGGTGTAGGAGGGTTCCCTTGTCTCCACACCTATCATTCTGACAACAACCTGAAGGGAATGAATTAGAGACAGGAAGTGCTAGACAGTAGCAACTGATAATCTAGTCCTGAATTTGTCCCACAGATGTTTTGGTTGGCCAGTGTGGTGTATTTAACATTTTTCAATTTGGGATCTTAAGCAGGGCATGGACTACCAATTCATCTCAGGCCCTACCATTCCCACTGTGGTTTCACACATTGACCTAACATGCTAGACCCCTGAAAGGCATTTGAGTTTGCTACCAGTCTTAGCAGAATGAAGACAAAGTGCCATGACACAAATGCCCAATGTCTGTGAAAACGTGTTTGGACTCACTGATATATACGAGACATATAACCAAAGATATATGAATTTCCAGCTTATTAAATTTCTAAAAAGTGATAATATCCAGTGTTAACAAATGGGTGGGGGACTGTCACTCTTCACACACCACTGGTGGGCCTGTAAAATGCCCTTCTTTCCAGAGGGCAACTCAGTAAAATGTAACCAGAATCATCTTTGAGCTTATAATTATTTCTTTAGGAATTTATTTTAGGAAAATAATCCAACAATGACATAAGGATGGCCAATGCAGAATTTGTTTCTAACACAAAAAATTAGAAGCCAAGGAAACCTCAACAATCAAGAATAAATTTTTTAACAAATTAGGTTTTCAAAGCATTTAGTGTCCTAACAAAATACTTATGACATAAGTATAAAAACGTACCATAAATGTGTAGTGTATTACAATCCTAATTTTTATAAAAATTCATCAATATATACATAAAACAATGAGTGGAAGGAAATAGGTCAAAATAATCATCTCTGGGCAGTAAGATTGTGGATAATTGATATTATTTTGTCTCTCCCTCTATGTTTCTGAAATTTCCAAATTGCCTGTAATGAGCATGTATTACTTTTATAATAAAGAAACTCCATACAAGTCATTAAGGGAAAAGAGAATATCATGGTTATCCAAGCCTGTGAGATAATAGGGATTTGAACTTAGGTGATAGCAGAGGAGATGGATGCAAGAGGCATTATTAAAGGAAACTCACTGCAACTCAGTGACTCTG